GAATCTTTGAGAAGGCTGTTGAAAATACGGATTGGCTGCGCCTTACTCCCAGAGCTTCTGGTTCGTTAAAATAAGAGTGGGGTCTGAAAATCTGCATTTCTTTTGGCAGGGGGGTTGGGGAGAGGTCACACTGGCAGTGCTCAGGACTGACTCTTGGCTCTATGCTCAGGGATTACTTCTGGTGGCTCAGGGAACCACACAGAGTACTGGTGATTAAACTGGGTCAGCTGAATGCAAGGCAAGGGCCCTACCCACTGTACCATAGCTCCAGGCCCTGGAGAATCTGCATTTCTAATAAGTTCCTGGATCTGCTGCTGCTGACGGTTGGAGCAAATACCTTGAAAACCATTACATTAAGCCAACTTGCAGAGAGCAAAGTTCTGCTTTTTACAAGCAGATGCTGTTTGGTATCTTGGAGGTCTCTACAGTTTAGTGGACTTCTATTTTGTCTTTTGCTTCCTACCTCGTGATATGTGCCAAACCCCTGTTTATAAACTTTTCTTCTTAATGTTGGTGTTCAATCGAGAATGTAGCTTGAGTAAATAAATTTGAATGTGTACCGCAGTACTTGATATAGATTTTTCCAAAATATGAGCACTTAAGCTAGACAAAAATATTTCTTCTGAGTTCAACTATTCTATGCAGACCAGCTCTTGGTCTCCAAGGAACCATTTGAACAGAACACTGTACCAAAGTGCAGTGCTACAGAGCATCCTGAGGATGATTTCTAAATGTGGAACGTAGTCCCCAAGCTCAGGCTTTCAACCAACATTTTTTTAAAATCATTTACAGAACTAAACTGTGTCCTGTGAATAACTGCAGGGTTTATTTTTCCAAAGGAAAAGGACTTTTCTTTTGCCAGACATAAAAAATTATCAGGTCACATTAAATACATAATGAAAGTAAAGGCCGTGTTTATTTTGAATGTGTGGGGTGAGATTTAATTAATTGGAAGACCAGATTTTACAATCCATGCTACTGATATTACCAAGCATACTGAATTGCTGTTATTCAAAATAGCAAATGTCAGGTTGGGGAGCTCTTGATCAGATTTTTTGATCCTAACAAATAATTATAAGGGTTGTAAGAAAGGCCTATGAATATCCTACACTGGTGTTAGAGAATCGCCTTTCTCTAAATGAGAAACACAGCATTTTAAGATCGCAATGTTTTTGTTAATATTTAAATATATATTCCTCCAGTAATTTATCGCACATATTTGCATATCAGAAAGCAAGGAGGTTGCCTTTTTCTCTATAAGTAATTAAATGGTGGCTAGAATTAAGGGAATAAATGAAGAGTCTTAAAGTATTGAGAATGTGGGTGCAGGGAGGACATTTATTAGCTGGAATGTACATAAAGGCTGACCGGTCTGGAGTGGCTGCACCAAATCAAGTCACTGAGTTTGGCTTTTAGATGGGAAGTTCATACCATCCACCAGTTAGCTTAATGTAAACAAACAAACAAAAAAAAACACCCTTTTTCTTGCCCTCTGTCTCCCCCCAATCACACAACAGGTTGTTCACAGTTTTAACTGTCTCAACAATAGTTAAGCATGACCCTGATTCTAACACTAATTTTGCTACTCAACATCTGAATTCAAATGAAATCCATGGAAGAGTCTTTCCAGATTAAATTTACCCGTGTTTTTGTGCATGTATTGTTTTCTATGCCAATCGTTAACTGTTTTATCTAGCAATGGCTAGCCCAAACCATTTCCACTTAACAACTTATAGAACAGGCTCAATGTGAGCACAAAGGAAAGACATTAAAGGTTCTACATTTTCTACCTTAAGTTTACGCCCAATGCCACTTGAGTGCAGGTTAAGTTGGGCAAGGCCAGGAGCCTTTGTTGTCATTCATAAGGTGTCTGTCATTTTGTCTAACCACTTTAAATGAACCAGAGAAAATTTAGCACTCAGACATTCTAAGAGTGTAGATGTTCAGAACTGTAATGGGCTGTGATAGCCTTGGAAGAGCTAATAAATGGAGCCTGTCATATTGCAAATCAACACTGAGGCTTATCAATATATCACATCAGTAACCTGGGTCACTTTGCATACTGTTTACCCAGTGAATGAAGTTAAAATGGGTGATTCTCCTTAACTCCGAAATGGTTAATTTAGTAGCTACCACCATTGCTAATCTCCCTGACCTCACCTTTATATGAAAACTTTGATCGTGCTTATCAAACTCCTTTAACTTCAAGTTAGTTTGAATGTTATATTTGGTTCAAACTTCTTTGTAGTCAGTCCTTTCAAATCTTAATAATCTTCAACTCAAAAACTGGCTTACCCAAGTCCTAATTTTATGGTTGGGCTCATGCCTTGACTGGCATTCAAACTTCTCTTGAGAGTACATTTCAAATTTACTGGGCAGATTAGGTTCAAGCCATTCATCTCATTAGATCTGCTCTTTCATATACACAACACAAGTCAATGTTTGTTATGACTTTCTTGATCCTTATTTATGAGACAATACAAGAGGAAACCATGTGTGTATGTTTGAAATAGAAATGATACATTGCACAGATATAGTTCACCACGTTCTGGGATGGGTTGTCAGTGTTCAAATGGGGAGCATAAAGACTAGGAACAGATGCTTTTTTTCCTTAATGGCCCTTTCTCTAATTTAAAATCTTTCCATTTATTTCCCTAAGATTTAGTGATAACTTTAAACACTTTAACTAAATTACCCAGCGGCTTGGCAGCCATCATAGAAGCAAATCTTTTTAGAAATCCTAGCAATCTGTTAGATCGTGGGTACTGTGATATAAAATCTGCATGTTCCACATACAAATATTAAATCAGTGCAATGGATACAAATACATAATGTAAATGGTACCACTTCTAAACTGAGGGTACATGACCTGCCTCTAAATATTGAATTTGCAGTTTTTATTTCAGTCAATGACTTTCTAAATTTGGGCCAATTTATTCTCATTATCTCCAAGCAAACCTACTTTGATTTTTTAAAAAAAAAGTTATTTCATTTTATAATCAAATAGAAACAGCCAACCCTGATTCATGGATCCTGATGTTGGCTAGGATACATGCTTTGGTACTTGATGAAAGTATATCACTTTTAAGGAGTAAATTTTCAAGTGTCCTAGAAAATGACACTCCTATCTTCCATTGTGGAAGACAGGCCCAATCCCAAAGCTTCCTGGAGCTCACAGACTGTAGGATTGGCTTCTTGTGCTTTGAAATAAGCAACCTCTCTCAAGGGCTGTGCAATCACTAAACTACTCAAGTTGGTCTTAAAGCAAGGAACACACGTATTTATAATAAAACACGTTTTCATGTTTGTTTTACAGTGAAGAGAAAAAAACCCAGAACCCCCAGATTTTATGTACTTTGAAAATATATTTAAAAACATTAAAAATTCTATATTTAAAACATATATTATATGTTAATTAGTACACTTAAATAGAACTTATATTTACAATAGGCTTCTGATGCGGTTAAGTTTTAATGCCAATTTTTTTCAATAACATAATTATATAAATATACTAAAATACAATAAATATTTTTTTTTGTTTTACATGGTGAATAATATCTTTACCATAGAGAGAACAAGGCCACAGACATTTACTTACATTTTCAATGGGAACCACCATAAAAAAGCAACAGGCCTGCTGCCATGCATGAAACACTTCTGCCACAAAGAGACCACAGCAAGACTTAAAACAAAACAAAACAAAACAAAACAGAACAAAAATGAACAGCAACAGAGAAGGATTTTAACAAAATAAATCTTAGGTCAACATAAACCACCAAGCATGTGACTGATGTTTTCAGTTAGGTAAGAGAGAACCACTGACCACACAATTGCTGATTATCTCCTATTCCACCACATAACAGATCTGAAAAGATTGGAGATTGTGTTTGGGCCCTTTTTGTTTATTTGTTTTTAAATTTTGACCCTTGAAAGAAAGCTGCAAAAGTTTGACATGCAGCAGATATTCCAAGTATTTTTATATGCTGAAAATAATTACAAAGAGTACTTTCAAACAGCACAAAACAAACCTTATACTACGTGAAGTCTTCTTTCTCTTATTCATATGGTATTTTTTTTTAATTTGCTTTTTGGGGCTTTTGGGGTCATACCTGGCAATGCACAGGGGTTACTCCTGGCTCTGCACTCAGGAATTACCGCTGGCGGTGCTCAGGGAACCATATGGGATGTTGGGAATTGAACTCAGGTTGGCCGCGTGCAAGGCAAACACCCTACCCGCTGTGCTATCACTCCAGTTCTGAGTTCAATTCCTCCATACCTCTCGGAGAGCCCGGCAAGCTACCGAGAGTATCCTGCCCGCACGGCAGAGCCTGGCAAACTCCCCGTGGCATATTTGATATGCCAAAAACAGTAACAACAAGTCTCACAATGGAGATGTTACTGGTGCCCACTCGAGCAAATCGATGAACAAAGGGAGGACAGTGCTACAGTGCATTCACATGGTATTATTTTTAGACAGGCTTGTTCTAAATAAAAGACTGAACAAATAGAAAGTATTTGCTGATGGTATCTTCATTTCCTGGGTCATGATAGACATCATCTTTTGCTCATTCTTTACTCAACACTAAGATAGGAAATTCTTGAGCCTTTCGGATTGATACACAAGGATACCAGCCCAGGACATCTTCAGGTTTTAACAGTGTGTTGAATGGGGAGTACTACTTTTCATGGGGTTCTTTGTTTCCCCCAGGACCTCTGTTCCAAACTTTCAACTCCACTTCTTCTAACTGAAGATGCAGAGGCAAGGCAAGACCGCTCTTAATGAACAGATCGGGAAGAAGATTTCTATGGGCCTTCACTGGGAACTACAACTCTATCAATTCTGTCCTGGCCTCTTGAACAAGGCACCTTCAAGCCTTGGTATCCTGGATGCAGAGACAACTTTCCAGAGACTCGTCTAAAGACAAAACTTCCTAAAACAGTAGTCTTCATCATCTGAGTTTGGGGGCCTTTTCCTGTTCTGACCCCCCCCCCCCCCGCCCCACCAAATGTTCTCAAAGGATAAAACCCTGGTTTCTTTAAGACTAATTTCAAAGCAATAAGTGTTCATGTAGCAACCCTCTTCTATCTCATCACAAGGGTCTTGTGATCACAATGTCACATTTGGTTCTGAAACTGCCCTGCCCCAGGCTAGTTCAGCTTTATGCAGAATTATCCAAGGGTGGAGGGTGTAATTCGGCTTGAGTGTGGTCCTCCAGCGAGAACCTCTTAGCACAGTTAGATAATGTAGGCACTTAAAAGCGTGAGGTCCAAGCAATGTGACACATGTCATTCCAGGGCTACCTCTGAAGGGCCCTTCAGAGGCCTCCCTTTTGGAATGTCTCAAGTATCATTCCCCACCCCAACCTAGACCTCAGGATGGCCTCTCAAAAATTCCTCCTGAACTGCCCAGAAATGATCTATCAGCTCCACACGGCCTCCACAGAGCTGTTCAGTCTCATTTCACTGGCAGTGTGGACTTCTGTTCTGATCTAGGTGTTTCTGGGTCCTCCAAAATGCTGCCTTTTGCTTGCGAGACCTTTTCTGTTTTAAAGCCATATAATGATTTATCCATGTTTTTTTTTTAAAGCCTATAATGATTTACCCAAAGGACCCCCATAAAAAAAGAATCTGAATATTTTTTTCTTGTTCTTTTTCTTTTCTAAAAATTTAAATCAAATCTAAGAAATCACTCCTCTCCATGCTTAGATGATTGTCACCACGTGACAACATTTGTTCACTCGTTCACAGCTGTTGTAAAATATTTCAGAGTGCGTAACTGATTTTTCTTCTTTATGAGAAAACAAAACAAAGAGGGGACCAAAGGGGAAGGGGGGGAAAGAATGTGCTCTACATATATGAGGTCTTTCCAACAAAAGAAGCTTCCCCCCACCAAGGCCCAGCGGGTGAGTGGGGGCTAGGAGGAGGTGCATCATGGGAAGTGGAGTGAGCACTAGGTTCAGTTGCCTTAATTTTTATTCACTTTTTCAGTCCTCTGATTGATATTGCAAACATCTTTACAACATACAAATGACTCTTTTATCAACCAGAATATATACTGAAGGAATTCTTTCCCCAGCCCTACTCCCTGTTGGAACTAAAAAACAAAACAAAACAAAACAAACAAAAATAAACACAAAACAAACAAAAAAATACCCCTCCCATCCCCCATCCCCTAAGCCAGTAAAGCGATGACAACAGCACCTTGACATTGTTTTAATTCCAACGCTATCAGAAGTTAAAAGCAGTAAAACAGATAGAGTACTAACAAGAACGAAGATACTTACTGTCTAAAATGTAAACGGAATGTTTTGGTTCAAATTTTTGTTGTTTTTTTTTTTTGTCTGTTTTCTGAAAGAGGACAGTTTATTATCAATTCACAATTAAAGCAGCATGCAATTTATTATTATTATTATTATTATTTTTTAAACTTTTTACGTTTTCAATTCTTGGCAACGGCAACAAACCACAACATTATCGAGGAATGTAATGCAGACTTTTTTAAAGTTGTGCGCAAAATGACTGTTTCCCTTCTGGTCATGGATATGTCCAATAAATAGATTGTAGAACCACTGTACTGTATAAACTTCATTTATACATGCAGTTCATAAAATTATTTTTTCTTAACTGAATAATTTACCCTGTTATGTATATATACAAATAGATAATTTTTATCTCAATATAATCTATACAACATAAATCCACTATCTTCCCCTTTTAATGGTCAATGTACATACACAGGAAGTGTCTATCCTTATGAATCGCCAGCCAATTCTCTTTTTGCTATCCATGGTAAGGGCCCGCACGTACGACTGGGTAGTTCGGCACTGGGAATTCCAATGCCTTTTGTCTATGCCCCTGCAGCCCTCCTTCGTGTAACCCATGGGATTGCACTTGGTCTCATAGAAGTACTGCTTCAGTTGGCCTTTTGATACAGGGACTTTTTCAAGGACAGTGACTGTCCCGCCCGACATGTCCACTGCAGTCTTTTTATCTGCCGCTGTCACCCACTCGCTAATGCTGTCGCACACGCTTAGCTCCCCACGGCGGGCAGGGTCAGAGTGGCGCCGGACCCTCATCGACATGTTTGCAGCATCCAGGTAATTTTTGTATTCCTCCAGCAGAAAGAGAAGAGGAGGCTCCAAAGGCACTTGACTACTGAGCATCACTCGGGAAGTGTACAAGTCCGCGTCCTTATTGTTCTCTTCATGGGGCCGAACTTTCTGGTCCTCATCCAACAGCTCTTCTATCACGTGTTCAAAAGTGTCAGCCAATGATGTCAGGCCTCGTGAACCTGCCTTGGGCCCATTCGCGCTCTCCAGAGTCCCATGGGTCCGCACTCCTGGGTAGGCCAAGCTGCCTTGTCCTCGGATGTTTGCTTCTTTCATGGGGGCAGCCTTCATGCAACCGAAGTATGAAATAACCATAGTAAGGAAAAGGATGGTCATCACTCTTCTCACCTGGTGGAACTGTAGGGAGAAAACACACAGAGAACGCAGGACCAATTAGGGTTATTTTTTATCACAGCAAAATGGTGCAGCCCACCTGATTGTAATTCCAGGCCATCCTCACAGGGTCAAGGTTTTTTTTTTTTTTTTTTTTTTTGGGTACTGGTGATAAACTCCAGCTGCACCAGGCACAAATTAATGTCAGTAGTGTGCTATACGTTGTTTAATATAAACCAGAGACGGTGCCGGGTCTCCCCCACCCAGATCTAGCATATAAACCCAAGATTAGATGTCTTCTAAGTAAGTGAAAAATATGTGGCTTCAGCTTGCATTCTGCCTCCCACTTTAGCAGCTTTGTAAGTTTAATTTTTAATGATCTCTGCTCAGGCTGTCACATGAGACACAAAATCAGATATGTTACTAAGCAACAATGGCAAATGTAATAGTAATTTTTTTTTCAAGTTAGCAATGTGGTCCTATTGTAGGAATGTGTTTCAGGAACACTAGTGGCCTGAGGGGTCTAGATGTGCCTCCCTCGCTATGTTATCTGGGCTGAAACAGTATAATAAAACAGTCAGGGAGGCTGAAGGAGGTTTGACATCGACTTATTTTGGTCTTCCACAGAAATAATCCATTTTAGAGCAAAAGAAGAAAGAGAGTTTTCTTAAGCCATGCTGTTTTGTAGATAGGGAAACTGAAGACCATGAAAGGACTTCCCTCATGGCAGACTTTCCTGAACGAAGTTTATGTTACAACTCTAGGCTCCCTATCCCGGGACTGATGTTCTTTCTAGACACCTGGGTGGTCACAACTGAAAATGTTTTGCTTATTTCCAAACAGAAATCATTTTCTACACGTTGATTTTAATGAAGTGTCTAGGCCTGGGGCTGATATCATGAAAACAATGTGTCTGCTTCAGGGAGAACTGGAAAAGTCAGCATTAAAACATTAAAAAGACACTAAAGTCAATGTCAAATGCCTCCCATATGTGGATTCAGGTTTATCTCAAAGAATTCTCCCCCCCTCCCGCCCCCATGCTCCCCTCTCCTCTCTGTGTCTTTTCTAGTTCCTATACAGAACCATCTAAGAAAGCCTAGCTTCACTTTTATTGGAAACGTGGTCTTGGATCTAGGTGAGCTGGAAAGTTTATCACAGCTTTAAAAAGCTGAGTGGCATTTTGCATGCTTTTGAAGTTTCTTGGGAAGTCCCCTAACAGAACACTACAAAATTAATCTTTTCCTGTTTGCCAGAGGGTTGCTAAACTCTAAATTTGGCTCTACCAGTATGTTCTGGGAAGCCAATTAGAATGAATGAGCAAGCAAAATGAAAACATACCTATAGACCAACCCACGGTTATCTTCAGATTGTGAGAACTCCGGAGTTACTTACCTGAAGCACTGTGCCCCTTAGCAGAACGAGAACTAGCCCCCAGCCCCAACGCTCTAACTTGATTTCTCCTTATCGCTTCAAGAAGCATGGACTTTACAAGAGACAGACACGCGCGAAGTTATGCTATGCCACAGGCGAGGGACTGGATTTCTATCCAGGAGGGGGTCACTACAGAGGAAAGTAACCTACCTTCAGGAGTCAACAGGTCATATTGAAAAATGACAGGAAACTGATACTTGAGAACCAAATGCTCCTCTTCTCTACTTTTGTAAAGAAATCCCATTTTATATCACTAACGGACTTTCTTACCATCCATCTGAACAAATTCCCTTGTTGACTGATTTGCTCTCAGCTGGGATGACTAGCAGACACACCCAGAGCTGTGTGGAGTGCACAGGGTCTGAGATTCAGAAGAGCACCCTGGTTTGAATGAAATACAGTTATCCCTTCTGCTAAGACTTGAACTTTATGAATGTTCTGGTTTCTGCACCATCAAATACAGGGATCTGCCAAGGAGGTTTCTATTTCTGGCAGGCAGTACTTACTTCACTTGAATGAAAATCCTTTCTCCTAATGTTCCGAGTCCAAATTAAAACTACCCAAGGGGCACCTCAAATGTAGGTCTAAAAAAGAATGCAAATTTGGAACATTTACTCCAACCATCTTTATCACACTGGTAAAGATTTGCTGTAATCAGCTATCTTTTTTTAAAACTTTATTTACTTATTTATTTTGGGTTTGGGCCACATCCAGTGGTGCTCAGGGTTACTCCTGGCTCTATGCTCAGGAATCACTCCCAGTGGGGCTCATGGGACCATATAAAGTGCCGGGATTGAACCCTGGTCGGCTGCATGCAGGCAAGCACCTGACCCCCTGTACTATCACCCTGGCCTCATATCTTTTAATAGCATATTTCATTAAATGTAAGATACCACTATTTCAAAACACATAATTCTTATGTACTACTAAAGGAAGTAAGTAAAGGCCCTCCTGTTGATCATTGATTTGCTCGAGCGGGCCCAGTAACGTCTCCATTGGAGACTTTGTTGTTACTGTGTCTGGCATATCAAATACGTCACGGGGAACTTGCCAGGCTCTGCCGTGCGGGCGAGATGCTCTCGGTAGCTTGCCGGGCTCTCCGAGAGGGATGGAGGAATCGAACTCGGGTCGGCCATGTTGGCTGCATGCAAGGCAAATGCCCTACCGCTGTGCTATCGCTCCAGCCCCTTATGTACTACTAAGGAAAAATAAGTGCAGCAAATCAAACTATTATCACTTATAAATTTCGTTGTATGTATTTACTTGGCCACATTTTATTATATATAAAATATTTGTACCTCTATAAAAATAAAGTTAAACAAAATAGTTTGATTTTTATTTATTTTGGGGTAGTGTCAGGTCTCTAACCCACGTCTAATGCATGCATGGCTCACATGATCATTGAGCCACATCCCTGACCAAATTAAGCAAAATAAATTAGTTAAAAGCAGTAACAGCTATTTCATGGCTGCAGTATAATCAACAATAATTAGATGTTATCAATGGTAAGATACAATTCAAATTAAATATGTAAAATAATAAAGAAGAACAACTTAGTGAAATAAAGTGTATTTACAAAATGCCCCAGTAACTTTTTAAAAAATTTTAAAAAAATTATTATATTCCTTTTCTTTTTGGGTCACACCTGGCTATGCACCTGGATCTGCACTCAGGAAATACTCCTGGCACTGCTCAGGGGACCATATGGGATGCTGGGAATCAAACCCGGGTCAGCCACATGCAAGGCAACGAGACTTGTAACAGTAACAAGACTTTTAAAGTTTTCTTTTTCTACATCTGGTTAAAGAAGCTAACTTTCAATTGTTTATTTTAGCTTCTTATTAGTATCTTTTGGTTAGGAAAAGAGTACTTTATGGCTCATTTTTCTCATCAGGTCCACAAATGAATATTTCAGAGAAACAAATGACATCTGAATAAATATTCCCTGGCTTTCATCCTGCAGCCTAACTAGAGCATCATTCAAAGATGAACATTTATAGAGATTCAGTAATGAATTATCTAGTGATAAAGTCTAACCCCATTCTTCTCAGAAGTCATTCACTGAGCAACAGTCTGTAAACCAAATTGCTTACTCTCTTACAAGGTCTTAAAGTCAATGCATCCAGCAAACTTAATAGTTGAAAAGATATTATTTCCCAACTTTTCTCTTTTAGACAATAATTTCTTGAAATTTGAGGCAACCCAGGCTGCAGGTTGAAATTCATGGGATCAAATTTGTCAATATGTTTTACATGTTGCCTTCAAATCTAGTCAGTGAGGAAGTGAGAAAGTCCTAAATGAGGTAGTCCTCCCAAACCTTTTCTTCAGAACATTTCTTCCATCTTTTTCTCTCCATCCTACTCCCCGGTCCTGGCTTACCCCCAACACCTGATTTCTGGTTCCCACATCTTCCTGATGAGGGTGCCATATTCTGCTACATTTATTCTGATAATTATGCTAAGAACTCACTATTATCACTACATTATCTTACAAAAAAAATCTTACAGTGGCTGATTTTCTCCACCAGAGCAAATAAAGTCTCTTTTAACTGGTATTGAACATCCTCCAAAACCTACTCTCACTTTACTGAGCATGATTCTCTCATGCTAGTCAACACTTCTTTACATCTGCTCTGATCACGCCAGAATCCTTGGATCCTGTGCACTTCCATTTATTGTCTACACAGAAGTTTTCCCATTCTGAAGGCAGACTCCTTTCTCTCTGACTGAATCTTTCTATCCTTTATGACCCAGTTCTAATATGAAATTCTACATGCCACTTTCTCCAATTATTCCAACACACACTGCCTTCCTTCTCCAAAAGTCCACATTATATTTCCTTCAGGACCACATTCTCTACTCACTTGTTAATTGTTAACTTCATCTGCAAGCAATGGCTAGTTCTCAGTGGGATGGTAAGTTCTCTCAGGGAATGAATCATGTCTGATTCCCCATAATGCTTAACACTCACAAAAATGTAAGAGTACTCAGTAAAAAATTTAGTACTCATTAAGGGATTTATTAAACCACAAAAAAAGACAGTTCAGGAAAAATTTTCACAGAGGCCTTTCTATGTGGAAAATATCAGTGTACTCACTGAAATTACTAGATCAAGAACAAGCTGTGCTGGGCTGGAGCAATAGCACAGCGGGTAGGGCATTTGCTTTGCACGCGTCCGACCCTGGTTCGATTCCCAGCATCCCATATGGTCCCCCAGGCACTGCTAGGAGTAATTCCTGAGTGTAGAGCCAGGAGTAACCCCTGAGCGTTGCTGGGTGTGATCCAAAAAGCAAAAAAAAAAAAAAAGAACAAATTGTGCTAAATTCAAGTTATATAGCAATCAGCCATGAGAAACTCCCTTGAGTTTCTTTAGTACAGCAAAAATATACTTGAGCAGTTAAAAAAGAAGTAACATTATAGTAACATTATGGCGATTAACAGCCTCTACTATTTCCTATGTAGCACTGCTTCCAACAAATCACTAAAATATTTTGAAAGCAGTCTATAATAATCATAACAGCAAACGTTAGAATTTCAAATTTTTTAGTTTCCTTTTTTGGTTAACCTCAATGAAACACTTTATATATTGTATTA